CTGTTGAATATAATGTGTAGTCTGCAGTTATTGGCTGAAATATATCTGTTAAATCCATTTGTTCCAAGGTATAGTTTCAATCCATTGTTTTTTTGTTGACTTTCTGTCTTGATGACCTGTCTAGTGTTGTCAGTGGAGTATTGAAGTTCCCCACTATTATTGTTTCTATTTATCTTATTTCTTAGGACTTTTAGTAATTGTTTTATAAATTTGGGAGTTCCACTGTTAGGTGCATATATGTTTAGAATCGTGATATTTTCCTGCTGGACAAGGCTTTTTACCATTATATAATATCCCTGCTTGTTTCTTTTAACTGCTTTTGCCTTCACGTTTGTTTTGTCTGATGTGAGACTAGCTACCCCTGCTTGCTTTTGTGTCTTTTTGCATGAAATGCCTTTTTCCACCCGTTTACTTTAAGTTTATGTGGGTCCTTATGTGCTGGGTGAGTCTCCTGAAGGCAGCAGATAGTTGATTGGTGATTGGTTCTGTGGTTCTGTATCTTTTATGCGGAGCATTTAGGCCATTTACAATCACTTTAATATTGAACCGTGAGGTACCATTGCATTCATTGTGCTTTTTGTTGCCTGTGTACTGTGATTTTTCTGTTCTTGTTTTTACTTTTTAACTTGTATTTTTGTTTTATAGGTCCTGTGTGATTTATGCTTTAAAGAGGTTCTGTTTTGATGTGTTTCTAGGATTTGTTTCAAGATTTAAGCTCCTTTTAGCAGTTCTTGTAGTGGTGGGTTGGTAATGGTGAATTCTCTCAGCATTTGTTTGTCTGAAAGACTGGATCTTTCCTTCATATATGATGCTTAGTTTGCTGGACACAAAAGTCTTGTCTGATAATTGTTTTGTTTGAAGAGGCTGAAGATAAGGCCCCAAACCCTTCCAGCTTGCAGGGTTTCTGCTGAGAATCTGTTGTTAATCTGATAAGGTTCTCCTTTATAGGTTACCTGGTACTTTAGTCTCACAGCTCTTAAGATTCTTTCCTTTGTCTTAACTTTGGTTAACCTGATGACGATGTGCCTAGGCAAATATCTTTTTGTGATGATTTCTCTGGTGTTCTTTGTGCTTCTTATATTGGATGTCTAGGTCTCTAACAAGGACAGGGAAGTTTTCCTTGATTATTCCCTCAAATAGGTTTTCCAAGATTTTAGAATTCTCTTCTTCCTCGGGAATACCGATTATTCTTAGGTTTGGTCATCTAACATAATCCCAGACTTCTTGGAGGCTTTGCTCATATTTTCTTATTCTTTTTACTTTGTCTTTGTTGGATTGGATAATTTGAAGACCTTGTCTTTGAGCTCTAAATTTCCTTCTTCTACTTGTTCAATTCTATTGCTGAGATTTTCCAGAGCATTTCACATTTCCAAAAGTGTGTCCAAAGTTTCCTGAATTTTTAATTGTTTTTTAAGCTGTCTATTTCCTTGAATATTTCTCTCTTCATTCCTTGTATCATATTTTGAATTTCCTTGCATTGGGCTTTGCCTTTCTCTGGTCCCTCCCTGATTAGCTTAATAACTAACCTCTTGAATTCTTTTTCAGATAAATCAAGGATTTCTTCTTGGTTCAGATGCATTGCTGGTAAACTAGTGTGATTCTGGGGGAGTGTTGAAGAGCCTTGTTTTGTCATATTACCAGAGTTGGTTTTCTGGTTCCTTCTCATTTGGGTAGGCTCTGTCAGAGGGAAGGTCTAGGGCTGAAGGTTATTGTTCAGATTCTTTTTTCCCATGGGGTATTCCCTTGATGTAGTACTCTCCCTCTTTTCTTATGGATGTGGCTTCCTGTGAGCCAAACTGGAGTGATTGTTGTCTCTCTTCTGGGTCTAGTGACCCAGCGAGTCTACCTGGCTCTAGACTAGTACTGGGGGCTGTCTGCACAGAGTCCTATGATGTGAATCATCTATAGGTCTCTTAGCCATGAATATGAGTGCCTGTTTTGTTGGAGGTGACGGGGGGCAATGGACTCTGTTGGGGTCCTTAGCTTTGGTGGTTTAATGCTCTATTTTTGTGCTGGTTGGCCTCCTGCCAGGAGGTGGTGCTTTCCAGGGAGCATTAGCTGTGGTATTATGGGGGAGTAACGGGTGGTAGGTGGGGCTCTAGAACTCCTAAGATATATGCCCTTTGTCTTCAGCTACCAGGATGGATAGGGAAGGATTATTATGTTGGGGAGGGGCTGGATGTGTCTGCACTAAGACTCTCCTTGGGTGGATCTTGCTGCAGCTGCTGTGAGGGGTGGGGGTGAGATCCCATGTCACTGGAGTTTTGTACCTGGGAGGATTATGGCTGCTTCTGCTGAGTCATCCAAGGTTGTTGGGGAAGTGGGGGAAAGCTGGCAGTCACAGGCCTCACCCAGCTCCCATGTAAACCAAAGTGCCTGACTCACTCCCACCAGGCCCCCACAACAGCCCCAGACCATTTTCAGGCCTGAAAATCTGCCCCAGACTATCTGCCTCTCAGCTGCAGAAGAAAACGGCTTGGTTCTTCCCCACCTGTGGAGTCTGTACACTGGATTGGTGCCCTCCCTGGAGGTCTGGCCAGGAGGCTTCTCACCCGGTTCAAATTGTTACAAAGTTCAGCTAGAGACTTTTCTCCCTGTGTAGTTTTACCTCCTGCTACTCTCCAGTTGGAGCACTGTGGTACCATCAGGAATGGCCTGCTAGGGGACCCAGCGAGCTCCTAGCACCTTTCTGCTGCTTCCTCTATCTCTGTATTTCACTCAGCTCCAGGTAAAGTCGGAAACTTCTCCCACAAACAGACCTTCAGCTTCTCCAGTGGGGGTGTGTGTTCGGGAGAGGAGAGTCTCCCTTTCCTACTTCTGCAGTTGGGACACTCACACTTTTAGGGGGGTCTCCTAGGAGGAACAGTTTGCTTACTTCAGAAGGTCATGTTGCCCAGGCTGGTCACAAACTATGGCCTGTTTTTTATGTACATAAAAAAGAAAAGGATTATGATAAAGGAGACGGAGACAGGAGACCCGTCTGTGTCTGGTTAGGAGGTACAGGGAAGTGAGGTATACCTATTTTGTTTATTACTTGCTGATCTCAAATCATGCATAGTGTAAGTATACTAATGTTCAGGTCAACTATACATAAATCATGGGTCAGGGAACTTCTAAAATCAATCTTTCTTCTGAACACTTAATCTGGTAGTTCCGTTTGCAGAATAAATCCCTACCTATTACATTTATAGAGGTTTTATTGAAAAGAGTGTTCCTCAGATGATGGTCTGAAAGTAACAGGTTCCTGGTTGAGACATGAGAACATTCGGTGATTTTTTTTCTCTTCTTTGATAGATCTACTTGTCAAATGTGTTACTTACTTTGGACATGTCAGAAATTCCCCATGGTAAGCCAAAGTCGTCTTCAGTGAAATTTTTGACAGTTGTGAAGAAAAGTGTAGGAGTTAGAATCGTGGTGAAAGTATACAGAGGAAGTGAAAGTTTTGTCGGGGGGGGATATGGCTTTGGCAAAGACAATCCCATGACAAACAGCAAAGAGGCCACTATATTCGGTTTAAGTGTGAATGGTGGGTTGCACATGAATGAAGCAGAGACTGAAAAGGGGACATACGATTAATTACATGATTGTAGTTGACTCCAGATTATATACTAAACAAAATGACTTTTTTCCCACAAATTGCTAAGACACTAGGTGTCCTCATGAAGGTTTTGATGAGGGACCCAAGATCAAGTGGGACCAAACATCTTTGAACAGTTTGGCTACTGTCTAATGGACCCACATCCATTAGTTTTGGGGGCTGGCTTGGATTGAGGACTTATCAGACTGTGGCCACCGCTGTTTGCTTTGGATCACTGTCTTCTAACATTCAGAAAGCATAGGAAAATCAGAAACAAACATGCATGATATAAGACTTTTTTTTGGTAGAGATGGGTTTTGCAGTATTTCCCAGGATGGTCTAGAACTCCTGAACTCAAGCAATCTGCCTGCCTCAGCCTCCCAAAGTGCTGGGATTACAGGTATGAGCCACCGTGCCTGGCAGAGATAAGACTTTTTAAAAATAGATGAAAGAAAAGTAACAGTAGATGAAGTAATCGATAAATATGCACATTAATTGAGAAAGCGTTTGCTAAGTGCTGGACTTCCAACCCCAAATATCTAATTCTATCTAATTGTATACCCATCTTTAAATAAGATCAATTCAGAACTAAGAGCTCAACGAAACAAGTCAGAGTTCAAGTTGTTGTTGAGAAAGATTCACTTGGCAATAGGTCAGAAAAGTGACCTGAACTGGACACAAGTGGCCTGAGATTCATGCTTGTGGATCCAAGGGGCCCACAGGACACTCCCCAGCAAGAGTCTTCAAGATAATCTCAGTAGGAACTCCAGTTTTTGAAGGGCAAGGCTACCACTCTTTATCTGAAACTAAAAGCTGACTTATTCTTTGCTAAGCAAGGCACCGGGGGGAGGAGGTCCTGTGCTTGTAAGACACAGTCTCTATAGAAAAGGAAACTGTGGGGGTTTTTTTATAGAGTTTTTGGAAACATATTGTTCAGGGACTCCAGACCTTCAGAAACAGGAGTGTTTATGAATAATTTAGCATTTGGCCATTGATGCAGGCTTTGTGGAAGGGGCTGTTGCTGACTGGCTGGGCTTCAAATATGTAGAACTGCCACTGATGGGCTAGCTCTCAGAAATGTGGTTAGTGATATAAGTAGTCAATGGCCAATTGAGATGAGTTTAAATAGCTACTTTTTACTATTTTCAAAGAACATTTGTGTTTTCTGGAATGATAAGAGTTTTCTTGCTTTACTCTAGGACTACAAGTACAAAAATAGAAGTAGAGAAAGGGAGGATGAGGTGCATAACATGGGGAGAGCATGGCTCTGTTATGTATTGTGATTATTGGAGCAGGTATATTTTTTTCCAAAGAACACTTCATCTTAGCTTAGAATAACATTGAGCAGTATGACAGCACTGGAAACTCTTCTCTGGCCACTGTCTCAGGATCCTTGGACAATAATTTTCTTCTTTCTCATTAGTCTCCAGTGAACTAAAAGATCACCAAATGAATGAAGAAGAAGAATCAGAAGAGCTTGTTTCTAGCCTACTACATAAGGATGTACCAGGTAATTATGACTTAAAAATAGTGAAAACAGGAACAGAGATATGATAGGGAGAAAAAGGAGAGGAAATAAAAGAGACTTAAAGGAAGAGTCAAATATTGGGAGGAGTGGTGAAAGGAGAAGATTTCAGAGGAAAAAGTAAAGAAGTGGGGAGCGACAAGGGTGCAGAAAAAAGAATCATGGGGTCAACCAGAAAGTCTTTATAAATCACAATTTTGGCCCAGGAGCACAGCAACTAGCATGCGAAAATGAGAAGGGTTCCTGTGTCATGTGTTTCTCAGAAGAAGTGGCAGGAGGCCCAGAAGCAAGGACGGAAAGTGACCAAGGCTGCCTGAGGGCCGTGGGATGGGGTGGCTCAGTGGGCCCCACAGACCCCCAGTAGAGTGGAGGCAGGTGCTCCAGTCTGTCCAGAATTCTGTTCTCAGCATTTCCTTGACCTGAGCCTTTGGGGAACTGCAGGGAGGCAAGAGATCATTATAAAGTCGTATTTAAGAGGATGGGCTCTGTTAATTACATATAGATGATGTCATAGAAGTATATTCTTTGAAATAGCAGTTATCTCATTTATTGTATTAGTATATTAAGTTTTAACCAATTTTCTATGAAACCCAAGATAGCCCAGTGAACTTCTGCTGGTAGATAATAGTGTCACTTTGCTGCACCTTAGAAAGGCCTCACCCAAAAGACAACTAATCCTGGTACTTAATTGTCAGGAGGGAAGACTGCAGGTCTACTCTTCTTAGTGCAGCACGTATTTTTGATAGAAGACCCAGGGCCCATCCTAGACTCCTAGTCCTCAGTTCAGTGAGCTTTTGGTTCATCTAGAAGGACGAGAGGAATGACTATCCAAACGTCTGTATAAACTCAAGCCTTCCATGGTATAAATTGTCCTAAACTCTGTAACTTTTATTTCTTAATTTGTTTCCTCACTACTAGTTGTTATTTTCTAGATACTGTGGATACTGGAAGCAACTCTGCTTTAGGGAGTACCAAACCCAAGAGGAAAAGAAGTAAGAATAAATACTTGCTTTTGGTGTTGTAAACATGTTTTTAATGCCAGAGTTTTATTTTTGTCATTGTTACTATTTCTGTTATTATTTGCAATACTGTGGTAGATAGAAGGATGGCCTCCCTAAAATGTCCACCTCATAATCCCTGGACCTGTAACCTGCTATCTTACATGGCAAAAGGGACTTTACAGATACAACTAAGCTAGGAACCTTGAAATGTGGAGATTATTCTGGATTATGTAGGTGGACCCAATCTAATCTTGTAGGCATTAAAGAATGGAGAACTTTTCCTGGTTATGGAGAAAGGAAGATGTGACTATGGAAGAATCACCAAAAACATGTAATGTTGCAGGCTTTGAAGATGGAAGAAGGGACCAAGGAATATGGGTGACCTCTAGATGCTGAAAAGACAAGGAAATAGGTTGTCCTTTCCAGCCCGCAGAAAGGATTTACTTTGGCCAGTGAGACCCATGTCACATTTCTCACTGACATAACTGGAAAAAAATACATTTATGTTGCCTTAAATGACTAAATTTGTGGTAATTTGTTATGGCAGCAATTAAGAATAATATAGATTTTGGTACTTAGAAGTGGGGGTTGGCTATAACCTATTTCTGAAAGTGTTGGTGTGCCTTTGGGATTGGCTATGGATAGAGGCTGGAAGAATTTTAATGAGTATGATAGGGAAAGCCTATGTTGCCTTGAGTAGTTCTTAGTAGAAATGTGGATGCTAATTACTGTGCTAGTGAGGACTAAGAAGAAAGTGAAGAACATGGGAGAGAAAGTCTATATTGCCTTACAGAGAACCTGGATCATCATGAGCAGACTGTTAGTAAAAATATGGAGGTTAACTGCATTACTGGTGAGGGCTCAGAAGGGCATAAGGAATACATTGAAAAGGCCTCCTTATTATATAGTGGTCTGTCCTGTACTCATGTGAAAAGCAGAACTTTCTGGATCTATAGCTAAGAAGATTTCCAAACACAGCGGTCATTGTGTGTTGTGGTATCTTTTGCCTATTATAGTAAAATGAAAGAGGAAAGAGATAAATTGAAGGAAGAGCTGCTAAACGAAAAAGGATCAAAACTTGGTGATGTAGAAAATTCTCAGCCTATCCAGGTCACAAAACATGATATGATTAGGAGATTCACTGTCAGGGTTGGGTGCTTGATAGAGACAACCAAGACTTTTTGTCAGTTCCCTGGGAAGTAGTGAAAGGTCATATTATTCATTCACAGAAAAAGTTCCTTGAAGAGATGAGGCATATGAGTCATGGGTCCCTCAGTCATCTCAGCAGAAGTAAAAAATAGATGTATATTGCTACAAAAAGAGTAAAATACCTAGGAACACAGCTAATTAAGAAGGTGAAAAATCCTCTATAAGGAGAACTAAAAACCTTGGCTCAAAGAAATGAGAGAGACATAAAAAAATTAAAAAATATTCCCTGTTCATGGATAGGAAGAACCAATATCATTAAAATGGCCATACTGCCCAAAACGATTTATAAATTCAATGCTATTGCCATTAAACTACCATTGACATTCCTCACAGGACTAGAAAATACTATTTTATAATTCACATGGAACCAAAAAAGAGCCTGAACAGTGAAGGCAATCTTAAGCAAAAAGAACAAAGCTACCCAACTTTAAACTGTACTACAGGGCTACATTAACTGATATGGTTTGGCTGTGTCCCACCCAAATCTCATCTTGAATTGTATCTCCCACAATTCCCACATGTTGTGGGAGGGACCCAGTGTCAGGTAATTGAATCATGGGGGGACCCAGTGTCAGGTAATTGAATCATGAGACTGTGCTAGTCTCATGATAGTGAATATGTCTTCATGAGATCTGATAGTTTTATAAGGGGGAGTTTCTCTATGCAAGCTCTCTCTCTTTGCCTGCTGCCATCCATGTAAGATGTGTATTGCTTCTTTTTGTCTTACGCTGTGATTGTGAGGCTTCCTCAGCCACGTGGAACTGTAAATCCATTAAACCCCTTTTCCTGTATAAATTACCCAGTCTTGGGTATGTCTTTATCAGCAGTGTAAAAATGAACTAATACAGTAACCAAATCAACATGGTACTGGTACAAGAACACAAACATAGCCCAATGGAACAGAAGAAAGAACCCAGAATAAGACCGAACACCTACAACTATCTGATCTTTGACGAACCTGACAAAAACAAGCAATGGCAAAAGGATTTCTTCTTCAATAAATGGTACTGAATGGGATAACTGGCTAGCCATATACAGAAAATTGAAACTGGACCCCTTCCTTACACCATATATAAAAATTGTCTTAAGACAGATTAAAGCATTAAATGTAAAAGCCAAAACTATAAAAACTCTGGAAGATGACCTATTCAGGACATACGCACAGGCAAAGGGTTCATGACAAAGACGCCAAAAGCAATTGCAATAAAAGCAAAAATTGACAAATGGGACCTAATTAAATTAAAGCGTTTCTGCACAACAGAAGAAGCTATCAACAGAGTGAACAGGCGACTTACAGAATGGGAGAAAATTTTTGCAAACTATGCATCTACCAAAGATCTAAAATTCATCATCTGTAAGGAACTGAAACAAATTTACAAGAAAAAAACAAACAACCCCATTAAAAAACTATGCAAAAGACATCAATGGATACTTCTCAAGAGAAGACATATATGCAGCCAGGAGTCATAAGAAAAAAAGCTCAACATCACTGATCACTAGAGAAATGCAGATCAAAACCACAGTGAGTTACTGTCTTACATCAGTCAGAATGACTTATTAAAAACTTAAAAAACAACAGATACAAATGAGGTTGTGGAGAAAAAGGAACGCTTATAGACACTGTTGCTGGGAGTGTAAATTAGTTCAACTATTGTGGAAGACAGTTTGGCAATTACTGAGTATATAACCAAAGGAATATAAATCATTCTATTATAAAGACACATGTGCATGTAGGCTCACTGCAGCACTATTCACGATAGCAAAGACATGGAATCAACCTAAATGCCCAGCAATGATAGACTGGGTAAAGAAAATGTGGTCCATATATACCATGGAATACTATGCAACCATAAAAAAAGAATGAGATAATGTGCTTTGCGGGTACATGGATGGAGCTGGAGGCCATTATTCTTAGCCAACTAATGCAGAAACAGCAAACTGAACACCACATTTTCTCACTTATAGTGGTAACAAAATGAGAACACATGGACACATAGAGGAGAACAACATACACTGAGTCCTATATGAGGGTAGAGGGTTAGAGGGTTAGAGGAGGGAGGGGATCAGGAAAAATAACCATTGGGTATTAGGCTTAATACCTGGGTGATGAAATAATCTGTACAACAGACACCCATGACACACATTTACCTACATAACAAACCTGCATATATATATTCCTGAATTTAAAGTATAAAAAAATCCAAAAATAGACTTGTGGATTTCTAGGAATGATCTGCGGAGAAGCTTCATGTCTCATGGAGGAAATCCCTGTGATATATGCAATAGATCCATAAGATTCTTGAAGGTTTTATACTAAGAGAAACAAAGATGTTCCTGTCCTATCTCCTAGAACCTGTAATTTGTTACTTTACATGGCAAAAGGGACCTTGAAGTTGTGATTAAGTTAAGGATCTTGAGGTAAGATCACACTGGTCCCTAAAACAGAGAACATTTCCTCATGTCGAAAGAGGGACATGTGACTATGGAAGAATGGTCAGCGAGAATAGTGCTGGATGTGGAGATGAATGCAGGGGTCCATGAACTAAAGAATGTGGGCAACCTTCTGCTGGAAAAGGCTCCTCTGTGGCCTCCAGAAAGGAACAAAGCCCTGTAGACACCTTGTTTGATTTTAGCCCTGTGAGATGCATGTCAGATTTCCAACCCACAGTATTATGAGACCAGGAATTTGTGATTTTTTTGGTCACTACATTTATGGTAATTTATTACAGCAGTGATACCTTTTGTAAGATTTTTTTTTAAAAAAGAATGTTTCACCCTATATTATTTTATCTTCAAAAATAAAAATTTATATATTTTTCAAATTACTCACACCTTTATGCTGTTTCTTTTTCTGATTTTAAAATACATGTTCCCTGTGAATTTTGTTGTACATATTTCCACATTTTTTCTACGCTTTATTAGCACATTAAGAATTATAGGTCTAAATGCATACATTTAAATGGTTACATTTCCCTTTAAATCAATGTAACATGCACTAGATATTATAATCATTTAATATCTTGCCAACTTAACTGTAAAAACGTTTATTTCATTCCTACTCTAACTTGCATTGCTTTTATTTTTGGTGCAGTTGTGCACTCTTCATTTGTTATTGGCCATTTGTGTTTCTTTTTCTATGAGTGCCTAGAACTTATATTTTGCTATTGTGTTGTCTTGTTTTCCCCCCATGCCTCAGGACGTCAGGAATACTCATCTATGATATAAACTAGATGCCGCCTGTGTGTGCTGCCATATTTGGTTTCTTTAGGGCCCAGGCACATCTCGTTTGATTGCACTTCGCTTTGTTGTACTTTGAGGATATTGTGAGTTTTACAAATTGAATGTTTGTGACCACCCTGTGTCAAAAAAGTTTATTGGTGCCCTTTTTCCAACATGTGCTCACTTTGTGTCTCTGACCCATTTTGGTAATTCTTGAAATACTTTAAACTTTATTATTATGATTATATCTGTTACGGTAGCATGAACAGCGGTAACGATGATGTTTGACGTTACTATTGTAACTGTCTATGGTACCACACACTGTGTTTGTATAAGATGGCAAACCTGATCAATGTTGTGTGTGTTTCAGTTGCTTCACTGACCAGCTGTTCCCTTGTTTCTTTCTCTCCCTCTCATTGACGTTCCTCTTTACTGAGACAAAAAAAAAGAAAAAAGAAATTAAGTCAATTAATAATCCTCCAATGGCCTCTAAATGCTCAGGTTAAAGGAATCATCACCTGTATTTCACTTTAAATAAAAAGCTAGAAAGAATGAGACTTAGT